TATGCCAGGACCAAAAGAATTAAAATGTAGTTTTTTTGAGGTAATCATTTTTCTTTTCTGTTTAACATGTTATATATTAGGTGTACAAAAAAGTTCTGAGCTTTTTTTTGTAAAATTCAATTTTTATTCAAAAAATGTTAACAAACAAAAATATTAACAAATATTAAACAAAAAATATTAATCAGCGAAATATTCCCCATTTGCATCAACGACCTTTTGCCATCTTTCGGATAGCTTGCGAATTCCTTGACGATAGAAGCTCACCGGCTTCGAAGCAATAAAGTCATCAATGCATTTTCGTATCTCTTCAAATCTCACGAAATGTGTATCAACCAAATGATGCTGCAGCGACCGGAATAGATAGTAATCGGAAGGCGCCATGTCTGAGCTATACGCCGCGTGTGGGAGAAGTTCCCAGCCTAACGCAAAGATATGGTCCTGAGTCGCTTTCGCAACATGTGGTCGAGCATTGTCATGAAGCAAGATTACTTTATGACGTCCTTGGCCAGTAAATGGCCTCTTTTCTTCTAATGCATCGCTCAAATTGGTCAATTGTTGTTGATAGCGGTCTGCCGTGATTGTTTCACCCGGTTGTTACAACTCGTAATACAACACACCTTTCCAATCCCACCAGATACAGAGCAAAATCTTCTTGGCGTCGATGTCGAAGGTTGACCAGGGTCAATCCATGATTTTCTACGTTTAGAGTTATCATAAAGAATTCCTTTTTATCGTACTGTAATGATTTTGTGCAGAAAATCTTTTTTCCGGAACTTTGAAAGCAAAGTGAGTGCAGTGTCACGCCGACGATTTTTGTTGTCTTCGGACAATTCATGCGGAACCCATCTGCCTTCCTTCTGAACCTTTCCCATCGTATATAAACGGAAATGGTACGGAAATGGTTTGCTGCGTAACGCCAAGCTGTTCTGCAAGCTCCTTTTCAATTTGCGCAGATTTATATCCAGCAGTGCTTGCAATTCGTCCGTTTCAATTTTTTGAGGGCGTCCAGCACGCGGTTCATCTTCAAGATTGAAATCTCCTTGGCGAAATTTTTGATACCATCTTTTACATGTAGTATGACTTACAGCGTTCTCTCCATATGTAGCATAAATCATTGCAGTGGCTTCAGCAGCATTTTTCTTCAGATGAAACGCGAAGTGGATGGAAAATCGAATATTCTCTTTTGTTATCGTGAACACTACTTATTTTTGAGGTTATGTGCATCAAACGCTAAACCGTATGGCATTTTAGAAGGCCAAATGTCAACGCTTTAAAACCGCAAAAGGGCGGGAAGATATATAAAATTTAAATTGTTATTTCGGTTGTATGAAATCTAAAGCTCAGAACTTTTTTGTACACCTAATAGTTTTTAATTTCCGTACTGCTTCTTTAACTATTTCTGTTAAATTTGATGCCTGATTGTAGAATGTAAAAAAAAATAACTAAGATTGTTTCCATGACTCACAAATATCTTTAACCATCATAATTGCTACATTACAAGCTGGTAACGATGTAAAATTATCTGAATTTAAATTCTTTGTTTCAAATCTTATTACTCTCGATATATTATAAAATAGATATATCTCTCGATATATTATAAAATAAATGTGCTTTTAAGGACATCTCATCGATACAAATTACACAATATTTGTTAATGCTTTCAAATGTATCAGTCTTCACTTTTAACAATTCAAATATGTTATCTTGCAATCCTGCATCTATGTAACACTTTCTAGTAAATCGCTGCAAAGTACTACAGCTAGGTAGACAAAATGACTTATTTATTAAATCTATGTACGCTTTTGGACTAGAAAAATATAAAGATAAGCAATACTGTTTGAATGCAGCAGTATATCTTCTACCTTTTGCCTTTTTTTGTAATAAATGTGCTTGCTGTTTCAAGAAATCCGACATTTTTTTCGGATAAAATTTATCCAGCTGTATGAATAACATATTAATATCTTCTTCCTTATCTTTTTGATGATTTGTTAATTCCAAAGCAGCTATTTGCTTTTTATATTTTTGTAGCGTCACTGCCACGCGACCGCACCACGACACACCATCGCGCGCAGCCCCGCGCAGCACAGTGGTTCGCGCAGCACTAGTGGCCTGCCACTAGATGGAGAATCGGGGAATTATTTTTTCATGTTCGAAACGCCCCATCGGGGCTATATAAGAGCGGCACTCAGCACCGCTCTTCGCCTCAGTCGCCTCCAGCCTGTTAAAGGCTAAGAATTGTACTGCGACGCCCTCCGAGCTCTGGAGGCCAGCTGGCCTCAAGCTCTACTATACGACAGTTTTTTTCTGCTAGGAAAAATCGATCGATCTTTGGTCGTATTCCCCGCGGCAGTAAATGCCGCGATAATCCGTCCTGTGTCCGGACGCATCACTGACGGCCGTGAAAGCCGCCACTCCAATCCATTCGTTCCGGACGCACCACTGACGGCCGTGAAAGCCGCCACTCCAATCCAT